ACACGCACTTCCCACAGAACGTATTGAGGTTCAAAGCAGGGCCGTTAAAGCCCAGAGTTACAAATCCAGCAGCACTGCAGACCCCAGCACGTGAATAACCCCGCGCTGCTACACATATCATCATGAGGCTCATGCGCCATTCGGCTGGCGGCAACCAGGTATTCATGCCGTGAACCCTGCTACTGCCCCCCACACACACCAACCCCCAAGCCACCCGCTGCTGCGTTACCACACGCCTCAATGTGGAAACCTCCCTGCGCTCGACCTACCTACCGATGTATTCTCACCACCCCTACTCCCCATGCATGCCCATGCCTGCGCACACATACACGCGAAGCAGTAACATAACACAAGCAGTAAACACAAAGCAAGGATGCTACGTGGAACGCGCCGCCACATGATCCGACGTCCAAACCCTGCTATCCTGTCGGGTGGTGACAGTTCCCCCTAGGCAGCGAGTCCGGCGCTGAAGGAGGTGCCGGCTCACCCGAAAGTACCTGTCTCGACCTATTGTGCGAAGACAACAATGAGCGTAACAAGGTAAGATAACATATTGGCCACGGAATGCAGTAAGGACCGAAAACCGGAAATCTTTTCATTGCACCGGTGTATAGCCGCTGTTGCAACGCGACCAGGGCCCCTCACGACCTGCCAGACGACCCGCCACCAGACTGCGCACGCTGGTGAGAGGGATAGTACGGCTGCGCCGCTGCGGCGGCAGCAGCCGTCGCCAGGGCGGTAGCAGTCGCTGGGTATAATGGCCCTCCGCCGCCGCCACCGCCATCGCCACCAACACCAACACCAACACCGCCAGCCGAGCCGCTTCCCCCCGAACCAAATTGCTGCAAGGCAAACACGGGTGACTCTGGGCACGGCTGCGAGGGCGGCCTCGATACGCCTGCATGGCTTGAGCCGCCGCTGGCCGTGCGGCTGCTGTTTCCGAGAGTGGTCGCGTCGCTGCGGCATTGCAGGGGACCCCGCCACCCCCATAGTCCCCACAGGTGGCGGCGGCGGCAACACCATCATGGCCTGGCTGTCGTAGTTCAGCTCAGTCCAACTCATATCGAAATCGCCGCCGCCGCCGCCGGCGCCACCACCGCCACCGCCGCCGCCAGCTACCGCTGACGCGACAGAACGCCACATGGCCCCCGCTGAACCCGTCACAAGGTCGCCCCCGCCAGCGGCGCCAGAGGCTGCACCCCCGTGAAGGGGGCTGTTACTGACTGGGACGGAGAAGTACATGCTACTGCTCCCCGACGCCGCGGTGCTGCCGGCGCTCGTCCCTTGTGTGTCGGTGCTCATGCCGCGGGTGTGCATTGCGGCCGGGGGAACTGTGCCGTGTGAACCGGGAGCTAGCGGCGGCAACCCCGGCGGTGATGATGATGGTGCTACAGGTGCCTGGATATTCATCACAAATGGTGATGCGCACCTATTTTCATCAAGTAATAGTCAAGGCAGGAAGGAAAAGGCATAAAAAGATGCATTCCGGGTATGTAGTACTGAATCCGCAAATCCTAAGTCCCGGCCAGTCCTCCCTTCAGCCATCTACTTCAGCCTCTTGGCCTCTCCCGACCTCTCGGCCAGAAGCACTGTCGTCAGACAGACAGACAGACAGACAGACAGACAGACACACGCAGCCACTGGTCGCCTGCACGCACCTTGTTCCCCATGTCGAAGGTCAGCTCGTACATCGCCGCCAGTGTCGCCCTGTGCATGTTCCACCAGGCCTGGCCTTGAGACTGCTCCGTGAACATCTTGCGATTGAAGCGAACCTTGACCAGCCGAACCGGGCCGCCTTTTTGTGCCGGTGGCTTCAACGTGATGTAGACGCCCTATTCAGCAGTTCGTCAGCAGTTCGCCATGCATGTGGTGGTATGGGGTAAGTGGATGGGGTATGTGGTGCTAAGCAATTATGGGGCGAGCAGGTAGCCATTGAGACGCGTGAAGGCTGCGGGGTGGCATCCTTTTCCCTCGCATGCGTGTGTGTGGATGGATAGAAGTGGATTCGAGCAGTGGTTACTCAACACACAGCCGCATCCCGCTGGTACGCCTCCGACCAACCCGCAGCGAGCCCAGGCAGCATGCGGGTGCCAGTGTCACCTGGCCTTGCAAACCATACACGGCGCCACACACCTATGCATGGTGGTGGAAGATGCAGCGCGTCCACTGCCTCCAATCCTACCGAGCTGTCATGGACTCCCGAGCAACCAGCCAACCGGCAGACCGACAGACCGACCAGCAACTAATCCGCGCTCCCCACCAAGGGCACCCTCCAAGGCCTCCTACCGGCGCATACTGGAACTGCACACCCTCCGGTGGCAGCGTGTCCGCCGCAAGCGCCAAGGGAACAGCGTAGCCCGATGATGATGACGTGTGCTCTGTGCCGCCTGCCCCGCCTGCCATCGTGTTGCCATGTCCAGGCATACCTCCGCCAGGGACACCACTGCCGCTACCGTTGCCACTGCCACTGCCACCGCCACCGCCACCACTCGCGCTGCTTCCGCCAGGCGGCTGCTCTTCAACCACCATTTCGTGATGCATCGTGTTCGCCCACTCCACAAACGCGTTTCGCCGCCGCCAGATCGGGGCCCCGGCCCCCCCCCCGCCCCGGGCCCCACCCTTGCCCCCACCCCCGCCAACACCAGCGGAGGCGGCAGCAGCGGCCAGGCTGCCGTTTGCTTCCTGCACGGCGGGGAAAGCTGGTACGGGCCCAGACGCCGGCCCCGCAGCGCTCTCCAAGCACCCACTGCCCTCACCACTGGTAGACGAAGGGTAGGAGGTCTCGGAGGTGGGGCGGACCAGGCCGTCTTGGTCGGAGATGGAATGGAA